TGTCGTCATTGTCCGACAGAATACACTCGCCGTAATCCGCAAGGATATACGTTAACGTAATATTACATTTTTTCAGCTGTTTCCATTTAAGAATGACAAATTCCACCAGCTCTTCTAAATTCAAAGATTCCGAACACCTTTTAATTGCAATTAAGCATCCAAACCTCAACAAAATTCTGTGTGAGACATACATCTGTACAGTAAAAGAAACACAATAAATCGACTGTGCGCATATTAAAACGACTATGCAATTACATAGCAAAACAGATCAAAGCTCTCTCTGTTTACACATAGAAGCTACAAAAAACGGACCAGTTTAACATAATTACACATATGAACAAACAGAGGCTCTGTTTACATCGACTTTTAGCACAAAAACGACTGGAAATTAGGATCGGATCATCAAAACCACACTACGGGCGAAAAACATATACGTAACAAGCAAAAACAACAACAAATTGAAAAATCGAAACGAACGTGATCATTTTAACCCTAAAACGCATTACACAATAGACAAAAAACTATTTTCGAAAATCAGTAGCAAAAAAACGAACCGTATGTTTGAATGTCCGTCGCCGTATGTGCAATTAACTTCCTCGTCTGTTTCAATCTCCGTCGCTGTCGCCGCCGCCACGTCGCCACCTCAGTCCCCGTTCCACGTCTCCACGTCAGTCGCCGTTGACACAGTGATAACCAAAGCACAAAAAAAAAACAGGGGTTTGAACAGAGGCGTGAAACGTGAACAAAAAGGCTTTTATAAAAGTGAGGGTGTTTTTGGAATTAAGAAAATATAAATTGGGTTAAAAATTACCTAGGGGGGTTTCTCTAATTATTTTTAAGAGGGGGTGTTTTCTTAACTCATTTTCCTAGATGGGGGGGTCTTGCTAATTATCCCTTAATTAAATACTAAATTAATATAATATGGATTTGCATATCTGCTCAAATAATGGCTGTTTACCTTCTCTCTTATATTATTCCCTTGTTTGTTTCTTTTGTTCTTCAGCTATAAATATATATATATATATATATATATATATATATATATATATATATATATATATATATATATATATGTATATGTATCTATA